ATTTGTTTCTTGCATTTCCAATAAATTATATGACTTTGCTATATAATATATTTTGTTATTTAGTGCAGGGGCATCTTAAAGCAAATCGTAAAATTTGATTAAGCTCAAAGGATGTTTGTTAAGGTAATACAATTAAAACAGTATGTAATGCAGTGAGTAGGTATGCATGTAACAAGTACCACCGACTAGGAAAGAGTGGGAAACCAGATCTGTCGGAAGGCTCCAAGAAACCTCAGAAAGGATGAACCGAAGAAAGTTGAGCAATGTACATGCTGTTACACAAGAAACGATTCTTTTTACATTACTCAGAGAACATAAGATTCATGATGAATCCTTTGACCCCTGGCCCGATTCTAATGTAAATTGTGTTTTCATCTTTTACAGGAGCACATCTAGGCCGTGTCAAGGCGATGAATAATGTAATAGACGTTATGATTTTTTCTTCGCGCACCTCCTAATCGTATTCGCCAAAGTACGACGCAAGTAGGTCAGAAAAGACATTCTCCTTGGCCGAAAATCGCTAGTAACTTCACATACATTTCATATGAATAATTAGTGTATTTGTCAATTGCGATGATTCAATTTATGCTTCATGTTTCTTCAAACCTAACGAAAATTTCATATTATAGTCCGAATCATTTATCATATTTAGAACGAAATTCTAATTATGGATGCGTTGACACAGAAAGCATAGAGTAGGTGTTTGCACTGTAAACGCAGAAAAATCTTTTACATATATGACATTCGTGTCAATAATCAATAACGATTTTTACATAACGAACAATTGCTTAGTATAGAAATCGCTTGTTCTGTTCTTGTCAATAGACAATCTCGATGAGTCATGAAATAGGACAGCAAATGATAGACACACTGAAATAGAAAGTACATTATTAATGTATGTTTTAAAACAATATAACAACTACATTTAAGTTGAACAATTGATTGACAGCGAAATAACTATGCCATGCATAGTTTTCACTGGAAAATAATTATTCAACCAGTTATTATTATTAACCGAAGCTTTAAGCGTTTTTCGTATGGTCAAGCAGGGCAATAAAAAAAGAAGCCATAAAGCAACACTTTCTCCCTTGCACATGCTACCCTAACAGCACTAAGTAATATTATACATATGTATCTAATAATATACACTGACAAATTAACTATACATATATAAAATACATGTTAAGAACATCATACATATTATCGTCACAAGTGTAATACATATTTACAACATATTTGTCATGTTTTAATTACAAGATTGTGGTAAAACTTCTTCCCCATATGAAAAACATACATTTTTGTAACGCCGATGATTTGTAGAGGGAATTCGTTTGTGAAATGGTTTTCGACCGGTTGTTTCGACTCACCCAGGCCGACGTAGCCTTTGACGCCTCCAAGATTTCGCACTCGAAAGAGGCCAGATTTTTTGAAGGCACAGTTAAGCGCAAAACCAAAGTCCGATTGAAACACGCATTGTGCTAGTGTGTCCCGCCACGTGCATCCTGCAACCAAACCGGAAGAGAAGAACACCATGGATCCCTGTTCCGATCCAACCGATCTACTTTACATTCCATCGTAATTAACTTTTAATCATTTATTCATTTCTGTTACTTCTCACGAGATTATTGAAATAATTCTGAACGCGATAGAAGTTTCATTGATTCTATTTTAAAACATTTATTTCTAATCAATTCTTCTATTAAAACAATGAAAAAGTCATGTACTTGAAATAGTAAAATTAAATTAAATTAGATTTTGATCTGAATTTAGAAATGATTTACTCATAGCGAGAAAGTACATTTTTTTTTTTAAAATCAGACTTTCGACAAAGAAATAGTTGATCTCGTTGAAGCATCATTACCACGATGGAAAGTTATTTACTTTTTTTTATTCCGAGCTGAACCAGTTAACAAGGATTTAATCGTGAACGACCTAGACTGACTTGACCAGTCGCCAACTTGGTTATCACTTTAGAATCCAAACGGATTTGAAACACGATTTCTATGAATTCTGATTTTGAGGCCATACATCCTTGATTCCCTAATCTGTGCTATTGATCCATTGGAAATACGTCTGTCTATAATCGTGCACAAAAGTCTGGCAAATATGATGATCCTAGTGGTATCTTTTGTACCTTCATCTCGCAATACCTTGTATCAAATTCTTTCTAAAATTAGAAGCAATAACAATTTCCCACTAAGAGAACGAAATCTTCTACATTTGCGGTTTTCTAGGATGTAAAAACCGGATGTAATCGTCGAAGATTGGTCAAACAGAAATTGTATAAGTACCTACGCGTCAACATGAGAATTGTGACATTGTGTAATCAGTTTAAGATTTACGCCACTACCTTTGCTTAAAAAATCTAAGAATACGACATCACGAGGTGATCGAGGAAATGAAAGAAACCACCAAGTCACTATTGCGTCCGTATTCGATCGATCATATGAACCTCCATACGTTGTACAGAAACTTTCCAAAGAATGTTCCAAAGTCTGTGAAAGGTACTTCCGGATCTAGCGGTCGGAGATTTGCCGGTCTTTAGGCGTGCCATCGGGCCACAGCCTACTGACCCACTTGAAAACTCGAGGGATTCTTTCGGTCATGCGGGCCAGACGGGACAGTTCCACACTCTCCAGAATCGAATCCGCATATTTTACAAATTCGGTGGCAAGATGAAGAAAAAGAACGTTCCGACACTGTATATGTATATTAGTTTCACGTGGCGATTTCACGATCGAAACGATTACCAGTAAATAATTAAAAGTTAACAATGGAATCATCCTTGCTTACATCTTGCTCAATTTCTTTAATGACGTTTTATCACACTTGAAATAATACGGTATTTTCGTAAACTTTGTATGTACTGTATCAAATGTATGTAAATACGTAATATATGTATTATTGTATTGCAGTAATCTTATTTACTATGTCAATTGCAGTAATTAGCAAACCAATTTATCTTCTTTTCATATGCATGATGATTGTACACTTTTACATAATGCACATGTAACAGAAAGGACGTTATCCTACTTAATATTTCGCATTTCACGCTATGTTTCGTAACAACCAAAAAGGTAGCTGGTAGTAAAAAGTCAGTGAAATATGTCCAGACATATTTAAAAGTGAAATCGATTCTTCTGTGATTCGTAACAGTTTTTGAAAAATGTAGCTTATTCATGTATTGGGGAAAAACGAAATTTAACATGACAAGCTTTCATTTTAAGTAAATCAAAGAACAAATGAAGTTTTTTTCGGAATAATATCGTTAGATGAGTATTACACTAAAAAATATAGTCAAAATAACCAAATTTTCAATTAAACGTTCGCACGTGAACTTATTACGTAATATATTAGATCAGCGCAAAAGTTCGTGCCCGATTTTAAGATGCGTGTCAGATATGATCGTATATGTTTTAGTATTATGTTACAATAATATAGAAATAATTCTCACTATCAGTCAGACACCAGATTTAGTGGTTTTTCAATATGAAGAAAGGAAAATTCATTTCCTCTACGTTACGTTATACGAGTTTCGAAAGGACCTGAGTGTTGAAATTGTAACAAAAAAACATTCTGTTCGTACACGTGGACTCTGCTCCTACTCTCGAAATGATATATTCGATTTAAAAACAGTGATTTTGATTTGGCCGATTTTCCAGTTTTTTATGAAAAAGGAATCAACCTGGTTGTAAAAAAAAGGTGGAAAACTGCAGGGATGACTCAATAAAATATAAATAATAATGTGAATGAAATAATATCCTATTTCAAATATCAGGCAGGAACTATTTATATCGAGCCAATAATTTATTTAACAAACAATTGAATGCTATGAAAATAAATTAAAATATAGAACCCATAAAATGTATGAAGAGGTATCGATGAATCAGAGACAGTAAAATGTCTTACTAAAGAGAAACAAAAGTCTATAATTACGACAGAGTAGAAATTTTGTTACTGTGTCACTTTCACGTTAAATGTGACTGCTGGATTGGTTGTATCCTGGCTGTTTTAAAATCTCATCTGTAATAATGAATCGCGTGCACGTCCATCGATTTCTTAAAAGCGATATGTAAAGGAAACGCAATAATCAGAGGCTAGTGGACATTTATAATCGAATCTATCACGTTTCATCAATTAGCACAAAATAAAGAGTAGTTATCCTCGAGACGCAGTACATCGTTACATTTTAAAATTCTTATACCGAAATTGAGTAATGCGTTTCAGAATATACAGTGCACGTACAAAAAGATTCGCCATTCATAGTTACGTAACTCGTCCACTTCAAGAAATTCCATTTTTTGCTCGCTTTCTGGAGCATTATTTCTTCGCAAGGTCGAAAATATTCAAAATGACATAACTTTATTCTAAAGCAGGGTCAGATCCAGATTCTAATGCTGTGAAGAATGAGGACGACGACTTTTAAATTACAAATCTCAAGGCTACTTTCACTGTTCATCTCGAGATGGATAATCACGACATAATTGAAGAGAAGCAACACCTTTTAACATGAATGAAGTAGTAAACATCACTTTTATACATCTGATAATTTTTCTCATTAACACGAAACAAGGTAATGATACTCTATGAACGAATAAACTCGCGCAACACTTTCCCGAACGCGGCCTTTACCTTTACCTTGAGACCGGCACACGGCACTTGTTCAAGATCCCACTCGTAACGATTTTCACTAACAATTGGCAGACTGGTAGCCGCCTAATTTTCGCATTCCGTGTTACGAAACGATTAATTAATATCCGTGTTCCAGCAC